GAGGGGTTTTCTTAACTAAGCACACCCTCCTGCCTGCATGCCTAAGCTAAGGGAGGATGAATTTCAGGAAGTAAATTCTGCTGCCCTTATTCAACCACTTAACACTGTGGGCTCCCGGCCCTTTAAGGAGTTTCGGATGCTGGGAGGTGGGGTTTTAGATCATGTGCCATGATTGGCTGTCACAAAGGCCACATGATCAGAAAGCTCCTGATCGTTACTTGGGGATTCAGGAAGTAAAATGCTACTGCCCTTATTTAACCTCTTAACACCATGCCTCCCAGCCCTTTAAGGAATTTCTGATGTCGGGAGGATGGGCGGGGTTTTAGATCATGTGACCGCCATGATTGGCTGTCACACCGGTCACATGATCAGAAAGCTCCCAATCATTACTTGGGATCCCAGGAAGTAAATGCTACTGCCCTTATTTAACCTCAACACCATGCCTCCCAGCCCTTTAAGGAATTTCTGATGCCGGGAGGATGGGCGGGGTTTTAGATCATGTGACCACCATGATTGGCTGGCACACCGGTCACATGATCGGAAAGCTCCTAATCGCAAGTAGCGATTGGGAGCGTTCTGTGATGAGCTGGTAACGGTGTAGTCTCAGCACATATTTTTTTACATTTAGGTATGCAAATATGCGGCCTCTCGGCGTCCAGGTTAAGATAGTCGCAGCAAGAAATGCTAGGGGGGGGGTTTTCAAATTGATTTCTCGGCAAAATAAATCATGGAGACATGAATGGATGGGGGAGCTTGTTTTGCATATGAAATATGAATTAAATAGCGTTTTTGGTTTGTGGTGCTCAGCTGCAGTGTAGTTCCGCTTTAAGTTATTACTAAAACCAATAATAATCAAATACAAAGACAAATATTTAATATGATAAAAAGTAGATATATAGTATTACAACATACAACCGGCCCTTTGAGGGCAACCATAATGCTGATTAGGCCCACGATAAAATTGAGTTTGACACCCCTGGTCTTCTAGAGTCAGTCTTTCTCAACTTCCTTCTCACAGAGTAACTCTTGAAATCATTTTCAAGTCTCAAGGAACCCCTGCTAAGATTGGTCCATCAGCGGTCTTTGAGAAAATGCCACTTACTTTGGTGGTGGTCAGTCGGAAAAATGCCCCTAATGGGCATAACTCTTTTTCCTAATAGAGTGTAAACTCTCATGAACCCAGCCGCAGACCAAATACAATACCTCTTTTGCCCTATGAGGCACTAAGCTCTATTGAACACAGTGGTCAAAATGTCACCCTTGCAGTCATACCATGTGGTGTTGCACCTGAAGCTGATAGGAGTTGCCTGGCAGAAGAAGCATCTGCCTTGGACGTTTCAGCAGGACCTCAAACCTTTGCTGCTGAGGTAGTTCACGACCCATTTGGCCTTTTCATCTTGGGTTCCAAAGGAACTTATCCCATTGTCGCACCCTCCTGGGCTGAGTCAGAGGGTTATTTTATGTCAGGGCTATGAGGCTCTGCAGGTCAGTTCCCTGATACCTCCCCCTGCTCTGGGATCTTGGAGAAGATTCTAGTAGCAGTGGGTGGGGATGAGGAGGGGTTGGCCTGCAGACTTACTGAATCCTGGCTAATCCCCAAGCAGGAAGCCTGGTATGGGGACAAGACAGCCCTTAGGAGTGACTAAGCCTGCTCAGCAGCAGGAGAGTTTGGGTGGAAGATGTGAGAGCAGGAGCTGGAGTGTGGAGCCTGGGAGGAGGCCCAGAGAAGGGGCCTGACTCCAGGATGGAGGTGACAGAGGGAAAGCTGAACCTCACTGGCCCCCTGAGAGAGGACCATCTGTGGAGCTCAGGAAGGAGCCAGCCCAGTAGAAGGCCTGAAGTCAGCTACCAGCCTGCAGCTTGCAGAAGAGGGAGTGAGTACTTCTAGACCCCTAGACTGGAGTAGGGGATAGGGCCTTTGGGTGGGAAATCTAACTAGCCCCTAGCTGGACTTTAAAGCTGCAGCTTCTAGTTCCCCTTTGTCCAGGGATTCCTCCAGACTGCTGGATAGAAGAGGACTATTTGGGGTTTGGGGTGGTATGCCAGGAGAGGCTGGATTGCTCTCCAAGAAGAGAAACCCTTCTCAGCACTTGTATATAGATCCAGGAAGTTGTCCTCAGTTTAACAGTTCTATGGGCATCCCATGTATCCCTTATCCACATCCAAGTTCAAATCCCCTAATAAAATCCAAAAAAAACAAGTTCAAGGACTGTTTGCTGTCTCTGGAGTTCAAGTCTGGAAGGGAATGCATGTTGCCTGGCTGTGCAGGATTATGGGGGGACCCAAAACTTCAGCAACTCCTAAGGGGGTAGTGCTACACCAGCACTGATGAGGAAGTGAAAAAATGCTCCCCATTGAAGTTACAGACATAAAATATAAACCAAAATTAAATTATAACTCTTCTCTACTTTGATTGAGGTGATTGAAGCCGTATTAGTGCATTTGCGACAGAAACAATTGAGTACTGACGTGATACTTTTTTTATTTGCACTAACATATAATTTTGAGGACAAGCTTTCGGGGAATGTCCCCTTCTTCAAGTTCCAAGCAGTACTGTACAAATCACAAAGTTTTAGCAGAATGTTAGAAGAGATGAAAAAAAAAAAAAAAAAAAGAGGCTAGAGATAAGACACAGCAAAAGCAAAAGGGGGGGGGGGAGGGGGGGAAGACAACACTCACATAACAGAGGGAGTCAAGCTTGAGCTGACAGTCATAAAACTGTTGGATAATGAGTGAGGAATCCCAGGTCCAAATTAAGGCCGTTATCTCTGGTGTCAAATAGAATTATCATTCTTAGTTCAAATGTTTTTCTTTCCTGAATGGATTTGAAATTTCCTTTAAGAACTAAAACATTGAGGTCTCCCATAGTGTGGCCTGGTTGTGCGAAATGGTGTCCCACAGGTGTGCAGAAGTCATCTTCTTTATGTTCCTTGATGGTATGTCTGTGCAAATTCATCCTTGTTTGCAACTTCTGTCCTGTTTCGCCTATATAGGATCCTTTGCTACATTTTCTGCACTGGATGAGGTACACAACGTGACTGGAGGTGCAGCTGTATGATCCGGAGATATTGAAGATCCCTTTTGAGTGTCGGACACTTTTTGATGGATTGATTCAGTTTGCAGCGTTTTCCATTGCAGGGTTCGCTTCCATTATTTGTGACCTCATAATCAGAAGGACGTTTCCTAATGATTAGTTAATTTCTGAGGTTGGGGGGTTGTCTGAAGGCCAGTATTGGGGGTTGTCTAAAGGCCAGTATTGTGGGTTGTCTGAAGGCCAGTATTGGGGGGTTGTCTGAAGGCCAGTATTGGGGGGTTGTCTGAAGGCCAGTATTGGGGGGTTGTCTAAAGGCCAGTATTGGGGGTTGTCTGAAGGCCAGTATTGGGGGGTTGTCTAAAGGCCAGTATTGGGGGGTTGTCTAAAGGCCAGTGTTGGGGGTTGTCTAAAGGCCAGTATTGGGGGGGTTGTCTAAAGGCCAGTATTGGGGGTTGTCTGAAGGCCAGTATTGGGGGGCTGTCTGAAGGCCACTATTGGGGGTTGTCTGAAGGACACTATTGGGGGGTTGTCTGAAGGCCAGTATTGGGGGTTGTCTGAAGGCCAGTATTGGGGGGTTGTCTGAAGGCCACTATTGGGGGTTGTCTGAAGGCCAGTATTGGGGGTTGTCTGAAGGACACTATTGGGGGGTTGTCTGAAAGCCAGTATTGGGGGTTGTCTGAAGGCCAGTATTGGGGGGTTGTCTGAAGGCCAGTATTGGGGGTTGTCTGAAGGCCAGTATTGGGGGTTGCTGGAATATTTCTTTCAGAGTTCCATCCTCTGTTATGATGGGTTGTAAATCTTTGATTATTTTTCTTCTTCCTTCTAGTGCCGGTTGTATGTGGTTACTAGAGGTACGCGGTTGTTTGTTTTTTTCTCTTTGTACTGAAGTAGGTTTTCTCTTCGGGTTCTCAAGGCTGTGTTTATGCCGGTGTTGATAGTTTTGTTCTTGTAACCTTTCTTATGGAAGGCGTCTGCTAGTGTCCCGAGATGTTTATCTCTGTCTCTTGGGTCAGAACATATTCGGTGGTATCTAATGGCCTGACTGTGTATGATGGCACGTTCGTTTCGTGTGTTGGGGGTGGAAGCTGGAACTGTGGAGGTAGTGGCATCTGTCGGTGGGTTTCCTGTATATTGAGGTGTGAAGCGTATCATCCCTGATGTATACTGTGGTGTCTAGGAAGGTGACGTGTGTGTTTGAGGATTCCATTTTTAGTTTGATTGATGGATGAAAAGTGTTGGTCAATGAGTAAAATTGTTTTAGGTTTTCTTCACCTTCTGCCCATATGATGAAAATATCATCAATATAGCGATAGTATCTGTATGGTTTTTGTTCCATGCTGTTCAGGAATTTTTCCTCCAGGTCAGCCATAAATAAATTGGCATATTGGGGGGCCATTTTACTTCCCATCACAGTACCCATACATTGAAGATAGATGTCTAAATTGAAGGCAAAGTAGTTGTGTGCAAGTATGCATTCAATGAGCTGTGTAACATCCTCAGCCATGTATTTGTGGTTTGGTGACTCCCTCTGTTATGTGAGTGTTGTCTCCCCCCCCCCTTTTGCTCTTGCTGTGTCTTATCTCTAGTCTTTTTTTTTTTCATCTCTTCTAACATTCTGCTTGTCCTCAAAATTATATGTTAGTGCAAATAAAAAAAGTATCACGGACAGTACTCAATTGTTTCTGTCCATACTTTGATAAAAGCAAAAATTAGGCTTTAAGGTTACCTTGATACTCACCTCTCCAGCAATCACCATCATTCATTCTTTTATCACAGCACTGGTGTCAGCCAGTGTCATAACCTATAGGAAACAGTGACATCATCCCACCCCTGCCCATAAATCCAAGCAGTGTCTAATGGAAGGAGATCCAATGCTCCCCAATACCCAGAAGGGTAAATAAAAAAGTAGGGGGGGGGGTCACTAGAGAGGTGAGTATAAGCTGCAGTTAATTAATGTCAATAATACCTTTGACACTGATCTTGAAGTTGATCTTCTGTCCAGAAGCCTCACAGGTATATTCTCCAGCATCTTTCTTCTCCACCTGTTCCACCACCAGATGCCGAGATTTACCCACAGACTCCATCCTCACTTTCTTGCTGGAGGTGATCAATTTCCCTTCCTTGTACCATTTGACCTCCGTCTTCTCCTGGGACAGCTCACAGCTCAGGGTGGCCTTCTCTGACAGCTTAACATGGACTTCCTTCTGCACCTTGTCCAGGTTGGTGAAGGCCGGTTCTGGTTCTAGAACAGGAAACAGTTACGTCAGGTTGGAAAATTTCTCTGTGAAACAACAAGCACTTCCACTTTCCTAAGGTGCTGGCTATTGATTCCTTGGTGGTCACAAATAATTGGAGCAAAACTTAATATCTAGAACATCATTTGGCCAGTTTATGGCCATCTTATATTTGGGCCATGTAGAAACAGGCCAAGGTTCCTTTACCTGTAACTTTTAATGCGAACGTGATGGAGTCATTCCCGACTCTGCATGAGTACATCCCTTCATCTTCCTTCCTGATAGAGGTGATGACCAGCTTGTTTTGCTTTCCACGGATATCTTGGAGGTACTTCTTGGAGTGTCGTACCTCCTTCCCATCTTTGTACCAAGCTACCATGGCGTTCTCCTCGGAAGTCTCTGAAAGTAGCTCGACCTGCTCCCCAAAATTCACTTTCAGTTCGCTGGCTTTCATTGCATTTGTGAAATGGGGTAGAGCTGGTGGACAAAGAGAAATGTTAGATTGTATGGGAGGAAATCAAGAGAGGAATAAAAAGACAATGGACCTTAAAAAGACAAATGAAGATCTCCAATGTCATATCCTGAGCATCTGCCTTATATCTAAATATCAATGAAGATATTCATGTATTTCATTTCAATTTTCATATATTCACATAATCAGACACAAGTGGGCAGGCTACTGGCAACCACAAGAGCTCACACGTCTTCTGAAATACTCTGCTCTGCTGAAGGACTCTGCTCCTTCCTCTTTAGTTCTCCTCTCCTGTAAAACTCTGCTCTGCTGGAGGACTCTGCTCCTTCCTCTATAACTCTCCTCTCCTGAAATACTCTGCTCTGCTGAAGGACTCTGCTCCTTCCTCTTTAGTTCTCCTCTCCTGTAAAACTCTGCTCTGCTGGAGGACTCCGTTCCTTCCTCTATAACTCTCCTCTCCTGAAATACTCTTTTCTGCTGGAGGACTCTGCTCCTTCCTCTATAACTCTCCTCTCCTGAAATACTCTGCACTGCTGGAGGACTCTGCTCCTTCCTCTGTAACTCTCCTCTCCTGAAATACTCTGCACCGCTGGAGGACTCCGCTCCTTCCTCTATAACTCCTCTCCTGAAATACTCTGCGCTGCTGGAGGACTCCGCTCCTTCCTCTGTAACTCTCCTCTCCTGAAGTTCTCTGCTCTGCTGGAGGACTCCGCTCCTTCCTCTATAATCCTTCTCTCCTGAAATACTCTGCCCTGCTGGAGAACTCAGCTCCTTCCTCTAGCTATCCTCTCCTGAAATATTCTGCTCTGCTGAAAGATTTTGCTCTTCCCCCAGTCTTTTGCTGACATTGAAAGATCTCATAATTTAATTTCCCAAGAAATTCTTAAGTGGCTTAAAGTAAAACTCCAGCCAGAACCCAGACAGACTGAGGAAGCATTTCAGGGGTCTGAACCTTTAATGACACAACAGCACATTGCAACATTGGTCAGTCTAGCATGAATGTACAAATTAAAAACTCTGGCGTAAGCTAAATTCCCCTTAAATGCCGGGCCTGACAGATGACAACAAGTCAAAGTGTCTTCTAAACAGCTGCAGAGTTGTTGGCCAAATTGGCAGTTAGAGGACATTCCTCTGGTGGTGGCGGTGGGGGGGAGAGGGGGGTCTGATGTCACATACCCGTCATGCACAACCTTTCCTGTCCTGTCCTGCGTCCCCCCCCCCCCCCAATCAACACTCTGCCTTTGATAATATCTGAGCATTTAAATAAAGGATGCCGCAGCCCTGCGACCCGGGGATTCTTAGCCGGTCCCCAGGACAAGCATCTGACTCACAGCAATGGAATGCGATTATAATCAGCTGCCGTTCCTGATACAAGACACATGCTTGCCTTCTCTAGGACCAAATGACATTCTTTCTAAATTCAGTCTCGGGGAAGAGCCCTTGAGAGGGTTATGGCAAGCAAAGAAGCAGCTTTAAGTTGTTCGATTTGCCTTTTTTTTTTTTTGCATTTTTGAGATTCGCCCAACATTAACCCCATTGTAACGGAACCGGACCCCGGCTGCGCTTGGGTATTTCCGTTAGACTCCCGCTTCCCCGTCCGAACACCGACCACAGACACCACAGACGATCATACAAGACTAGAAGACACCAGTCTTGAAGTAAACCAGGAAATAGACTACTTTATTTTAACACAGATACAAGATATATACATTCAGGGAACAACCCCCCCTTCCTGCATAAGACACAGGGCGGGGCTATCTACACTTAGCAACAAGACACACCAGCAGACAGTCCCATCAGGAGGGAGGGCTGCTGGAGACACCCCCCACCAAGCCAATACACATAAACACATACATCCCATAATAGTTTGCTCCCAAGTAAGAGACACAATAGAACAATGGGATTCAACCAGGGGCAGACTGGCAACTCATGGGGCCCCCGGGCAATAGGGGATCATGGGGCCCCTGTGTCCTTGCCCACACTCAAAGCACACCCAAAAAAAGCCTATAAAAAAGGTACCAGGGGCATTTTGGGGCAGCACAGTGGCTAAATGGTTAGCACTTCCACCTGGCAGTACTATGGTCATCGGTTTGAATCCCAGCCACGGCACCACCTGCCTGGAGTTTGCATGTTCTCCCTGTGCCTGCGTGGGTTTCCTCCGGGTACTCCGGTTTCCTCCCACACTCCAAAGACATGCTGGTAGGTTTAATTGGATCCTGTCTAAAATTGACCTTAATATGCGTATGAATGTAAGTTAGGGACCTTAGATTGTACGCCCCTTGAGGGTTAGGGACTGATGTGAATGTACAATATATATGTGTAAAGTGCTGTGTAAATTGACGGCGCTATATAAGTACCTGAAATAAATAAATTTCACGGGGCCCCCTACTGATCCCAGGCCCTCGGGCAGTGCCCAAGTGCTTGAATGGTCAGTCCACCCCTGGATGCAACCACATGGCATTAAACACTCAACAACCCCCCCACCCCAATATTAGGCCAAATCACCCTGTACCCCTAACAGGCACAGGGTGACTTACACATAAGAGGGATATGGGGAGCTGAGACAGGGGTCTCCCCACCTCTCCAAAGTGAGCTGGTTTCCATGGGCCCCCCACCCAAAGTCACTCCCATCACACCCATCCATAGTGCCAACGGTCTATCATCTTGAGCTTTTGTTCCTCGTTGGGAAATCCAGATCTCAGCAAAACTGGGAGAATTTATAGTCAAGCCAACGTCACACTGGCCATCCCCAACTGGTTTAGGGGCTCATTTAGACGTGCAAAGAAATACGAGCGCCCATAAATGCACCCAATGCGTTAACGGCACATTTTTCATGCATTTGCCTCGCGTTACAAAGCGCTTGCCTGACACCCCTCTGTGTGGTTTTTTCTTCGATGGATTTTTGTATGATCGTCTGGGCTAGTAACCGTTTCTAAAAGCATCTCAAACGCACTGTAAATGCCATAGGGGGGTTTTGATGGGTTTTGCAGTGCGTTTACATCGACATCAATAGAAGTGTTAGGGAGCGGCAAAGTTGGCAAACAACACATGTTGGGTCAATTTTGAGGTGACGCAACGTGACGCAACGCGATGTGAAGCAACACCAATGCCACCACGTGAAGGAACATGGGCGCTGCAATGCCCACAATTTTCACAGGCGTTCATTGAACTTCAAAAATGCTCAGAAAATGCCTGCTTTTGAAGCTAGTGTAAACCTAGCCCTAAAGTGATACTAAAGCTTCATTTTGTTATACTGACCTGCTCAGTGCAGTAGTTTTGCACACAGCAGCCCCGATCCTCTTCTTCTCGGGTCCCCCGCTGGTGCTTCAGGCTCCTTCCCCTCGAGGAGTGCCCCCAGAGAAAGCTGCTTGCCCGGGGGCACTGCTACGTGCTCACTCCCGAGCCACTGCTCTATGCGTCCATAAGCCACATAGAGCCATAGCCCCCCCCCTTGCTCTCTCCTCATTTGCTCACTGGCTTTGATTGACAACAGCAGGAGCCAATGTGCTCCCACTGCTGTCTCAGCCAATGAGCAGGGAGAGTCCCCATACAGCCAAGGTGATTTTGTTATACTTACCTGCTCAGTGCAGTAGATTTGCACACAGTTGCCCCCAGGGGCAGGACTGACCATTTGGAAACTTGGGCACTGCCTGAGAGGGCCCGGGGTCAGTAGGGGGCCCCATGAGATGCCCCTGGTACCTTTTTCATAGGCTTTTTTGAATTTGGGCAAGGACACAAGGGCCCCATGATCCCCTATTGCCCGGGGGCCCCATGAGTTGTCAGTCTGCCCCTGGTTGCCCCAATCCTCTTCTTTTAGAGTCCCCCGCATTCACTCCTGGCTCCTCCCCTTCAACTACTGCCCCCAGAGAAATCTGCTTGCTATATCCAGCCCTGAAAGGTGGCTGGGAGGTGGTATGTCCCTCCTCACCACCTGTAAAGCCTGTGGCACCCCCCAAGGCAGACCCTGGCAGTACATATAGCTGCGTACATTGACGGCCCTATATAAGTACCCAAAATAAACAACAATAATAATCTGTTGGTGGATCTAAAGGCGATTCTGAAATCAGAATGTAACATGTCTGGTCAGCTGAAGGCTCTACCTTTCACCCGGAGTTTGGTGCTGTTCTCGATGCTTTTGCAGGTGAATTTCACCTCGGCTTGGTCCATCAGTTGGTCAACAGTCATGATGACCAGCATGTGGGTGTTCTTTATCCGTTTCACCAGATACTGCTCGCCGTTTTCGACAACCCTACCATTGATCGTCCAAGTGCCAGAAGATACGGTGGTGAGGTCGATGGAGAACGTTGCTTCTTCGCCCGCGGTGACCTCAACGGGTCTCAGAGGAAGCTTAATGGCCGGTATGGGTTCTAGAAGAAACAGGCATACAAGTACTATGAATTCTGGGAGGCTGGGACCTCGCACGAGACCTTCATTGACACCCCCGCCCTCCCATTCTTCAAAATGTTCTGTC